ATAACAAACCCGTTTTTTTTTTTTTTTTAAAAAAAAAAAAGCCTGGTTTTTCTCAATACACCTTTAAAGGCTTTTAAATTGTTTCATATCAAGTTGAGATTTTTAAGAACTTCATTTTTAATTTGTAATAAAAGTTTACAACTTGATTTTTTTTCAAAAAAAGTCAACAAACTGCAAGCACCTGTTAATAAAGTTCTTAAATAATAATAAAATAAATAAGGGGGTTATGAATGGAAGTGAATGCAGAGGTGTAGCAAATCTCCATATTCTTCATTAAGAGGGAAAGCTATGAATGCATTCTGCATTCTAATTATGACAACTCTTCAGCCTTTACTTTCCCAGTTCTACCTGTCTACTTAATCTGGTTTTGGCTTTTTAAATCTTTGTGCTTTGAAAGCTGAGTTGCTAGAAGAAAACTTAGAGCATGAATATTACTTATTTTTATGTTGGTAACAGATTTCAGATCTTGTTGAAGTGAGAAATGCATGAACAATTGAGGCTGTTCTCATTTGTTAGATAAAGCCACTTGCTTGGACTTTACTAACCTAACTAACGCACCTCCATTCTTTGGACTGTGATAACTTTCAGCATGATCAAGTCTCTAAAATAAGCTCACAAAGAAGTGGAACTCCAAAAAAACGCAAAGCTCCACCACCTCCTATCAGTCCTACCCAGGTAAAAACAAAAGCAAACCAACAGTATATCAGCATAAAACAAAAAGCCATCATTTTATTTTTAGGTCAGAAAGAAATGTTTTAGAACTGACCCTTAAGTGTACATTCTAAATTTTCCTTAGTGGTTTTAAATTACAAATGATGGGGCTAGAAGAACACTTGCATAGCATATGTGAGGCCCTGATTTGAACCCCCAAGAATACACACACACACACACGCACACGTACACACACACAGAGTAAATTACAAAAATGTATTAAGTAGATTTTGATTATTACTCTGAAATAATGTTGGTTTTTAGCTGTATCAAAAGTAGAACCAAATAGTGTCTTTTTCAAAAGCCTCAAAATTTCTAAATATCTTATGACAGTAACTCATTCCTTAAGATAATCAGTCTGTTCTTAGTTCTCCATAGTTAACAGCTCTAGTAAGGGCAGGAGGAATCACTAGCTAGTGAGGAAGTTAGATGAAAATGAATTTAGTTTCTTAACATGTTACTACAGTGTATTTTCCTTTCTAAGGATATTTATGAGTAATATTAAAAATGGACTGGAGATGGCTCAGCGGTTAAGAGTATTGACTGCTTTTGCAGAGAACCCGGATTCAATTCCTAGCACCTACATGACAGCTACAAACCTTCCTTGACTCCATTTCTAGGGGAATCCGAAGCTCTCTTCTGACCTCCGCAGCACTGCATGACACGGGCGCACTCACATACATACAAGCAATACACTCATACACATAAAATAAAAATAATTAGTTAATTTCTCAGGGCTGGAAAGTGGCTCAGCAGTTAGGAGCAGGCAAAATATACACATAAAATAAAAATTAATATATGTGTGTGTGTGTGTGTGTGTGTGTGTGTGTGTGTGTGTTTAAGAGTGCTTGCTGTTCTTACAGAGGACCAGGGTTCCATTCCCAACACCCACAGGGCAGCTGTCTCCCTTACACACACACACACACACACACACACACACACACACACACACCTCTCTGTTATATACCACAAAAACCTCTTTACAGATGCCCCTGT